AAAAAAAAAGAAAAAAGGATAATGTGTATCCTGCTGGTAGAAAGGTAAATTGATACACTCATTATGGAAAACAGTATGGAAGTTCCTCAAAAATTTAAAAATAGAACCACCATACAATTCAGTAATTCAGCAGTTCTACTTTTTGATATCCAAAGGAAATGAAATCAGTATCTCAAAGAGGTATCTATGCATCCATGGTTATTACAACAGTAAGAGAGTATCAGATGGGTAATGGGTGATATTACTCAGTGTGAATTACCTTAAATCTCTTCATTGCTGGTCCATACCCACTCAGAGAAGATGCACTTGAGAGGAAATACTGAAGGTACTTGAAAAAGACCCTGTAGTCAGCAAAGAGACTAAGGTTAACTGGGGCAAGCTTAGAGTTGGTAGTTCGATAGCAGAAGTTTCTTAATACTTACTGACTTATTCTAGACCGTGTCGTTGTTACTGAAGTAAATAAATTGATGCAAGCAGTAGACTAATTGGGGACCAAAAGAAAATGTCTGGTCATAATGGGCATGGCTAGTTCTCTCACTTTCTCATCTTGCTCATCCAAAAAACATTAACTACAAACAAAATCCAAAATTATAAGATACAAGTTCTTATATATTCCCAAAGACAACAGTTATTTCTTTTGTTCTACTTAGGCAAAAGTATACATATGCTTCCTTGACAGACATTAAGTCAAAATCTATTAAACTGATCATGACCTATTTTATGGAAGAGAATGCCTCCAAAAATCTCCAGCAGGGTTTTACCATTCATCTGGAATATTCCATCATTCATTTGCCAAATCTTTTTTTGAGTGCCTATTATAGTCACTAGTCACTGTGCTAGGCAAAGAATTTATTGCAGGGAACAAGAAAAATCTCACCCACATAAGTGATAACAGCTGTTCTTGGAGAGGCTGTCTTGAGAGCTTCCTGGAGTAGAGTTGCCAGAATTAGCAAATAAAAATTTTTACCTTTTTATAATTTAGCCATTAGAACATAGGATGCCAAATATTGCATTGGACAATTTATATTAAAAATTATTTGCTGAACTTCAAATTTAACTAACCGTCCTGATTTTTATGTGGCAAACCTACACTGAAGGGAAAACTTGGAAGTGAAGGTAGGATAGGTGAATGGAGAGAAAGGCAAGCTTCCTTCAGAAAGTGATTTCTAAAATGAATCTTGGGCATAGCTGGAAGAGGTAGGGATAAGTACAAGGACGCAGATGGAGTCTCCAGGTGACCTAGAGTCCTGAAACGGAAAGGAACAAAGGGATTGGGGTAAGGAAGAAGGAAGGAGAGTGATGCTGAGAGGTGAAACCTGAAGGGAAAAAACGAGGCCTTCTCTTCCAGGGTTTGCTAAGGAATTCTTACTGATGCAGGACAAGGTAGCACCAGGACCTGCCGCCTTAGCCCTGGAGATGCTGATGCCGCTGTGGATGGAGGAGCTAGCTTGCTGGAAGGGCTGGACACCCGGGGGAGACACTGGCGCCTTGCTGTCTCCTCCTTGTGCCCGTCTGACTGATCAGTTTTCAGGGATGGAGCCTTGCTATCTCCTCCACCTACACTTCTGTCTGGTCAATTTCATGTAAGTTTCCAAGGCCTGAGAATTCATTAAACAACTGGCTGTAAAAGTCAACATTGAGTTGGGGTAAAACAACCCCCCTGCCACTATATAAAACCCCTGAGCAGAGAGCTGGAAAACAGACATCAAAGAGGGAGCAGGAGAGCTTGTTCCCTTCCCGGGTTCTCTCTGCCAGGAGTTTTGGATTTTTGGTAGTTGTTGTAATTATTGTTTCTTTGAATAAATCCTGACTTATCACTGGTCCTGTGGTCCCTCAATTCATTCTTCAAATCGCCAAAACTCTGGTATCAATACTGTATATTAAGAGTGGTGAGGCTCGGCGCCTATAGCTCAACCGGCCAAGGCGCCAGCCACATACACCTAAGGTGGCGGGTTCGAATCCCCAGCCCGGACCCGCCAAACAACGACGGCTGCAACCAAAAAAAAAATAGCCAGGTGTTGTGGCGGGCGCCTGTGGTCCCAGCTACTTGGGAGGC